ATGCACCCATTTAATCGCCTACTGACTCACCTTTCACATTCACTTTTCCTTCCCCATGGCCATTATGAGATAGGCCCTCAACATCTCTTGCTTGGACTTCTGCAGTAGCATTCATGACCCCAATCCCTCTTCCCTCCAACTTTCTTCTCACACTCCTGCCAGAATAATTCATCTAGAAAAATATTTGGCCACTGGCTCTTTGGGGTCTCCCTATGAGCTGTGGTATTGAGACTAAGGTCCTTCAGCTCCTTGGGAACTAGGCCCTGCCAATATTTTGACATTCTCACCTTGCTAACTGACCCACCCATTTTATAGATAGTTCCATCTGCCTGGAAGTACCCTTCCTCCTCCATCCATCTAGACGCTCCTTGACTTTACAACTCAAGCATCACAGACTCTAGGCCACCTTATCTGTACCCCCTCCCCACCCTTACCCCTGGATATGGTCCCACTGCTCCCTGTGTTGCCGCTTCATGCCACTTATCACTCCAGAAGACAGTATAGCATAGTGATTATTAATGCAGGCTTCTAGAGTCAGACTGCTTGGATTCTCATTCATGCCAGCCACTTACCAACTATATAAATTTGAGTAAGTTGTTTAACCTCTCTGAGCTTCACTTTCCTCATCCATAAAACAAGGATAATAATGCTACAGAGTGAGGACTAAATAGTCTACATGTTGTATTAGCACAGTACCTGACACGTAAGTGATGTCCTGCTGTTTAAGTGGTAACTCTTATTACTCTTTGTTTTACAAGTTTCTTATCTGCCTCTCTCATCAGACATTTGGGCTGGATCAAGATCTCATTTGTCTTTCTATCTCTGGAACTTGGCAGAGACAGGCATATAGTAGGCTCTTAAGAAATGTTTGCTGAATTGATGATGGAAAGATGGATGAGTGAATGATGGATGGATTGTTGGATGAAAGGGTAGATGAGTGTGTGGGTTTATAGGCTAGATGAATAAGTGGGTGGATAAATTGCTAAGTGGGTAGGTGGATGGATGGTTAGATGGATGGAGGGATGGATGGTTGGATGCATGCATAGATGAATGCATGGATGGATAGAAGAGTGGACGGGTGGGTTTATGAACTAGATGGATGGGTAGATGGTCAAACAGATAGTTAAATAGATAACTTAGTCCCGTTTAAGTAGTATGGAACAAAGGAAAGCTGTACCTCGAGTCAGCCTTGTTAGCCAGCTGAAAAGAAGATTCTACAGTATGTGATTTATTAAGTTTGGAGTTTTTTGTTTTTTTCTAAGCACAGCTGTCTTCCTGCTCAAGATTTTTGGTCTCAGGCAATCTGTTACTTGCAATATCACTGTATCCTTGTAAATTTAAACGTTCAGTAAATCTTCTTCAAGCCTGAGAGAAAACACACATGTATACTGTCTTGTGGCCACACAGTAAAGACTGTAATCCTTGCCCTGGAACACTTTGCAATATAATTGGGAAAAGCTACTCAGTTAATAGAAGCTTGCCAGTTGCTGTTCTTCTGGAGTTGACCTGAAGCTGGGTCAGGATAGCACCTGGCTTTTGGTGACAACCAGGATAACTCAGAAAAGCTACTTGGAAGAGGTGGTTTGAAAGTAAGGAAGTATGTTGTCATGAGGAGGTGGACTGGCAGAGGTGAATCCTGAAGGTTAAAAGCAGAAAAGCCAGAAGGTACAGAATATTGAGTGCAGCCTGGGGCTGTTGATGGCGAGGACATCTGGCTCAGGATGGAGACCTTGCAGTTGGTGGTTCAAAACTACACAAGGCAATAGACCTAGTGACTTCTTAGAGCCTCAGATTCCTCAACCAAAAATGAGAACAATAATGCTTGCTCCATGGGGTGGTAGGGAGGATTAAAAGATTTAAAGCATGTGTCATCTCAATGCCAGACCCACTGTGTTGCTCAACATACATCTGCTTTGGTGATGGGTATTGAGGAGGGCACATTCTGCATGGAGCACTGGGTGTTATGCACAAACGATGAATCATGGAACACTACATCTAAAACTAATGATGTAATGTATGGGGAAGAATAAAAAAGAAAAAGAGTAAGAATAAAAAAAATACATCTGCTTTCTTACCTCTTCATGGACAGCACCGGCTAGTGGTCCAGAACACAAACTTTAGAGCCATGTTGCTATCAAATCTGGTTACTAGCTGCTTGATCTTAGGCAAATTACATAAAGCTTCTTTGCCTCAATTTCTTCCTCTGTGAAGTGGGGATGATAATAATACCGTCTGTCAGGGTGGTTGTGAGGAATACATGAGTTAACATATGAGAGCCTAGGACAATGTCTGATACATAGTAAGTGCTCCATAAGTATCTTTTCTTATTTTATTACGATTTTTAACATTCCTGTAGAGGTGAACACTTTGTTCCTGGTCACCAGAGTGAGAAGCAGTAAACCTTATATCTGTAGGTGAGGCAGGGACATGAACTCCCCTTTGTTGAGGACTACGAATGTCAGGTGTTTAGATTAATATGATTTACTTGATATACTTTATTATATATCACATACAATTTGAATACAATTTAGATTAATGTTAATGCCCACAATGACTCTTGGGAATAGATAATTATTGCCCCCAACCTTGACGTGGAGAGACTGAGACTCAGAGATACTCAGTGACTTATTCAAAGCCATGCAGTTAGCAAGTGGTGGTGCTGGGACACAAAGACATATTTCCACTCCTCAAAGCTGTTTAGGCTGGCAGTCATCCATGCCATTCACCTTGGTACATGGATCAGGAAACAGCAGTCTGGAGGGAGGAACTGACTTGCCCAGGATGTAACAGTGAGCAAGTGAAAGAGTTGAGATCAGAACCCTGCCCTCTCAATCTCAGCCACTTTTCTTGACAATATGGAGAACATAGGTAGCTGTAAGTCTTCATAAAATGGAACCCTAGCTTTCTTCCCCAAGGAATCACATTTCTAGGCACAGGACTACAGAGCCAGCCATGAAGGAGAGGAATGGTTTCCGTACAGTGTGAACCTGTATGGTTGGCAAGGGGGATATGGTGACTTGCGTGGGCTCTTCCATCTCCCACCCATTAGAGCAGGGCATTCCTCACCCCTTTCATCACCTAGGGCTGCTGTTCCTTTGACCCAAGATGTTGAACGGTTTTATGAGTGACCAGATCTTTCTGCACTGTGGCTCATTTTCCCCGGCTCAGCTTCCCAAGTATACATGGGGCTTCCTTTCTGCCATAACTTCTTAGCTCTCAGAATCACTTTCCTTCTGGAGCTAGAGGTTGGACTCTCCTGATGAATAAGAGAAAGCCTAGAGGTGGCCCTGCCTAGGGGACTTTGGCTACTTTCCTACTCAAGAGGGAGAAATTTGAGGCTCTGAGGACATGTTCCCACGCTACAGATATAAAGACTGCATATTCCTGAGCCAAGCAACTGGGATAACAGTTGCAATTAACCAAATAACTCTAGAGGGAAGGGAACTATTCTTGCCTATTCAGATGGATATTTGGGGACCTTAATTATCAGCAATTTTTCTCAATCCACAAATGTATCAGTTACTGTCAGTGTGGCTAAGTCTGTAAGATAAAAGCATTCCTATTTATTTTCCTACAAAATACAAAAAGTTATAACAAAAGGAATATCATGGACTTATTTGAGTTTTTTATTGTTCAGAAGCCAAGAGCTAGAAGGGACATCTTGGAAAGAGATTTCAGGTAGTGATTTTTCATTTTGGAGAGTGGAATTCTTAGTCATGTGAAATTTTAAATGCAACTTCAGTTTATAAAATAGAAAAAAATAGAGAAGTGCTGGCTTTTGTGGATGGTGGGGGACCAGCAGTCCTACCTGCTCAGTTTCCCTCTCTCCCATTTCAGTGAGGCTACTGTACAGAACCCCCAGGATCCTACAAACACAATTTGAAAACTAATGACCTAGTTCAACTCCTATGAGGTTCAGATAAGGAAATAAAGGCACAGAGAATTTATTCAAGTTGTAGTTTGTTCATATTGAAGGTTGGAATTCTTTTCTCTTAGTGCAGTGTTCTTAATGATAAAGTTTGAATTTTGTTCTGATGATTGATATGTAACAAACCTGAAATTTAGCGACTTATTTTTCTTATATATCTGTGCTTCGGTCAGGGATTGAAGGGAATGACTTGTTTTGTTCCATGACACCAATGGTCTCTGTTGACATAATCCAACTGGCAGGGGCTGGCTGGGTGTCTCTCTTCATGCAGTTTTAGCATCTCTCCACTTGGTCTTTTCAGGACAGCAACCTCAGGATACTTGGACTTATTACATGGAGAGTCAGGGTTCCAGCTGAGAGTTCGGAAGACCCAGACAGAGCTCCAAGTCTTCTTTCTGACCTATCCTAGAAAGTCCCAGAGTGTAATTCCTACCACATCCTGTTGGTCACATAGGGCCAGTCCTGGTTCAGTGTGGGAAGGGAGTACACATGAGCATGCATATGGAAAGTGTAGATTGTTGGGGAGCCATCTTGAATGCTAGCTACCTGATTACCTTGCTTTTGGCATGACCTTACTAAATAGGTTCTGATGACTTTACTAAATAGGTTCTAATGTGGTTTGACCTGAAACAGAGAACATAGAAGTCATTATGGTTTTCCTTAGGTCATAAGAGCACTATCATGTGGAAGAGTGGTAGAATAGTTCTAGAAGGCCAGAAAAGTCTGACCCAGGACCAAAAAAGTCATAATTACAAGGAAGCTAGTTTAGTTTTAGTTGACCATAAGAAAAGAACTTTCAAACAACTAAACAGCCAACATTAGACATGGCTTTTTCTGCATGAGTAGTGAATTTCTCCACCATTAAGAATTTCTCTCTCTCCTTCTACCACCGAAAGTATCTGATTCTCAGCAAAGATGATTAGAGAAACTTGCATCTCCTTGAGTTTTGGGATGCTGAAATACTATGTGCATTTCTAAGAATCAAGATTTCATATAAATCTAATTCTTGTTTGTCTTTTCTTTTTCCCCCTTTTTGGACATTTCCTTCATCTGACTGCCCATCAATATATAGAAGAAATGCTTATTCCTACTCCTATTACTTGTAAGTATCGACCCGGGGAAACTTTGCTTCGTGCCCTGTAAGGGAACCTGTAGCATGCATTTCCTGCACCAACCAAGTGTCTGTTGGTTTTCTCATACTCACTTCTGTCTAAGTTATCTGTAGCCCCAAAGTTTCTATTTCACATAGATGTTTTCCATTTGAAAATGCACTGTCATTGTTTATGTCTGTTATGTTTCTGCCATCTTGGATTTCCCCCCCGATTTTTGGAGATGTAAAGGCAGTATAATTTTCTAGTTAGAAATCCCTGAATTTCAGCAAGAGGTCAACCTAATACCCCTGCAGGACTTGCAGAGATAAAACAGAATCACCAATCTCAGCAACTTCAGAGCCCATTGGCATCTACTTGGGGAATATGTAGCCTCGAGGGGCTCAAAGGTTAGAAAGAAATTCATTGGCTGTTTCCACTATTTCAGTAAGTCTACAGGGAACCATGGCTTTACCTAGAACCAGCTTCACAGGTGACAGAAACATCCAAGGTCTTTGCTTTGGGCTGGAATGATCGCAGTCTGGGGTTTGGCTTTAGTTATCTCATGTTACCAATGTATTTTGTTGGTAGTCATAGCTGGTTGTTGCCTTTCAATTTTTTTGCACTTTCTGAATAAAGGTGATGATTCTTCTCATTATTAAACCAGAAAGTTTGAAAACACAAAGGTAAAGGGGAAAAAACTCCATAAACAGAGCCTTGGTAATGAAAAGTTAAGAAAACCACTGAAGGAGTCCCATATCCCTAATATGCATTTCCAGTGTTTGAAAATTGAGGTCCAGAGAAGTGTGTGAAATCACACATCCAGTGGGATTAAAACTCAGGATGCCTGGCTTTTGGTAAAGTGTATTGTCCATCATTCCATGTCTTGTTCCGCTCTTGGCACACCCAGCCTTATGAGGGAGGCCATGTCTGCTAGTGATCATCTGCTGAAGACTTTACTCATGAGAATTGACCAACAAAAAGCTCTCCCATCCCCTCTGCTCAGTGTTTGGGTCCCAGGTCAATAGGCCAGGCAACGAGCAGATAAGATTCTGGTACCACTGCCATCATGTTATATAGGAACCAATGGACTCCTACCACCAACACTAAAAGTATCAGAGAACTTGCTTTATTTTTTCATTCATTCATTCATTTGACAAACATGCATTGAACATGCTCATTATGTTCCAGACACTGTGGATGGAAAGATGTCCGGGACTTTGAGCCCCACCCTCCTAGTGTTCAAGCCTCTCTGGGGTCTAGGATAAAACCAAATACTTGAAATGTCAGCTGAGAGGTGCCTATATGTACTCTGGTATAGGAGCACTTACTTGGATGACTAATTTTTTAATGGGGCAGGGATAGTTATCAGTGTTTATAGAGATGGATTTACTACTGAAGAAATAAGAATTCTAAGCAGAGGGAACAGCATCTGCAAAGGCATAGAGGTTAAAACAATGTGGGGTGTTGTTGCTGTGGTAGAAAGAGAATGAACTTTAGGAGTCATGAAGCTCTGGGTTCAAGTCACATCTTTGTCACTCACATTATGAAACCTTGAGAAAATCTTCTGAACTCCTTGAGCCTTATTTCTCCTAACTCCTAAATAGGGGTCATAGTGCCTAACTCAGGGAATGAGGGATCTTGTAACGTGCCTGGCACACAGTTGGCACTCATGAAATGTTAGTTTTCTTTCTTTCCCCCTTCAGAAAGCATAAGGGGTCAGGACAGTAGTGGTGGCCCCTAGGAGCTCCTCTGATCTTCCAGAGGTTCTTCTGGCATCGGTGTTCCACAGTAGGTATGGGCCTGCAATGACCCATCACAGCCTCTGGGCACCTCACCTCCTCCGTCGGTTAGCCATGGTACTTAGACCTGTCTTTGGATGCCCACTTCATACCAGGCACTGTGCTCGGCACTGTGATAGAATCAAATCACAGTGTGAGAGTATAGGGGACAGACACTCAAGTACTTGTAGTTCAAGGTGCAGTGATACACAGGGATCTTTAAGTTGTGCATACTTAGGAGTTCTAAGTCAGAGATCTTAGAGCGTGAAACTCATGCCAGCTCAGGAACTGACCATGGTTAACAATTCAGAGGAGAAGGACTGGCAAAGCAGACAGAGAGGTATGAGGAGAACCTTCAGAACCAAGAGGAGAAGTCCTTTGCAGAAGGAAGAGCCTGAAGATGCTGGCAGCTATGGAAGAGAAGGTCTGGGGGCAGACTATTTGGGGACAGGAAGCAGCCCCACTGGGGAGGCACGACAGGTTCTGTGAGACCATAGGATTAAGAGGTGCATGGAGATGGAATAAAGGAAACACAAGGGAAATGCTAACCTCCGTGATTTCCAGATTCAGAACTCCACTCCCCCAAGTCTTAGGAATGGACCCTGAGCAGGTGCCTTCAACCCTCTCTACTCCAAGTGTGGTCCGTAGACCAGCAGCATCACCCAGAGTGTGTTAGAACTGCAGCACGAGGGTCCCAGCTCACACCTCCTGAATCAGAACCTGCATTGTAACAAGAGCCCTAGGCGACTCGCATTGCACATGAAAGTTTGAGAAGCACTGACTTAGCCAGAGTCTCAGTTGCCTCATCTATAAAATAGGAAAAGTAATACCCTTCCCCCAGGGTTGGAGAGCCACCGGATCCCTCTAAAAGCCCCAGAATCTTTTTCCCCAAAACAAAGAGGTCCCCAAGGGCTCTCCTTGCACTGAAAGATCCTATGCACAAGCTCAGGGGTCCACAAACTTTTTCCATAAGGGGCTAGAAGTAAATATTTTTGGCTCTATGGACATACGGTCTCTGTTGCATCTACTCTGCTGTTTTAACAGGAAATCAGCCATAGATGATGTGCAAGTGAAGGAGCATGGATATAGTTCAATAAAAAAATTTATTTAAAAAAAATCAAATAGCAGGCTAGATTTGTCCTGGGGACCATAGTTGGCCAGTCCCTGCCCTAGACTTTTGAGGTAGAAGGAGGATGGAGTTCAAGATTCATCCTGTTTTATGAGCTCCTACTGTGTGCTGCACCATGTGTCTGCTGTTGCAGACACAGAGATGAATGAGGTGCACCTGATCCAGTTAAGAAGCAGGCAGAAGTTGAAAAGAACTACCAGTTGGTCACTAGTACGGGCCAGGCTCTTCTAATGCTTGCAGCAAGCCCTGCAAGATACATGTGACTGTGTTGAGTCTACATAGACATTGAGACTGAGGTTTGAGGACTTGTGTAGATCCCACAGGCAGGATATGGCAGGGCGAGGGGTTGAATCCAGGACCATATGCCCCCAAGCCCTGCCCATCCTTTTTACTAAGCCCTGTTCTTCAGGGGATGGAGGAGCTCCTGCCTAGACCATAGGCTTGGACAGCCCTTGACCAGACTTCAGGAGAGCCAGGATCCACGGGCAAGTCTGCCTGCCTGCAGAAACTCAGTTCCATGCATGGACCTCAGTGCCTTGCTAGGGACAAGAAGTGGTAGCAATCTCTGACTGGCAAGGAGGCCCTTGAGGATTTGCTGCCCTAGGGATTTGCCGCCTGGTCAGAGCTGAGAGCACCGGGCTGCCAGATCAGATGCAGCCAAGGGGTTAGAGTGAAGAGTGCCCCACAGAGTGCTAATGACCAAGATAAACAGAGCTATAGATCAAAGGAACTGAGACCTCGGGACGGAGGAGAGTCTAGAATTGGGCCCTTCCTTGTCCAGCACACACGAAAAAATAGCAGAATAATGTGGGCTTTGGTGTCAGACCTAGATCACAATTCTGTGTCTACCTCTTCTGCCAGATAGTTCAGACGCTGAACAATCATGTAACCACTCTGAGCCTGTTTCTGCATCTGCAGAGTGGCGATGGCAATGGTGACTCCCCAGCGTTTTTGCAAGGGCTGGTGAGAGAGGGTATATGCAGAGTTACTGACACAGGGAGGTATTTTATAAATAGCAGCTATGATTCCTTGCATTCTGGGCTGACAAATGCTTCTCTAGAATGCCTTTCTGCCTTTCTATAGTAAAGAAGCACCCAACAACTTCAGTGTCTGCTTTTTAAAAGGATATTAGGAGCTGGCATGTGTTCACGGGTTAATTTATCTCAAGGTGTGTGATGGGCACAGTAATTGTTTCAGAGACATTTTAGTGTAGTAGTTCTTGAAAAAGCACTAAGATGTTTACCAACTGTTCCAACAGAGAGAGAGAGAGCACTTAACGATTTCACTTAGCCTCGGATAAATGCCATGCAAGTATCAAGGAGGTGAAAAACGGTGACCTGGGCTGGGCCCTGTCTGCAGACACTCTGAAACTCTTGGTTTTTTCCCATATCCTTCCTGTCTCTCCCGTGGCAGCATATTTGAATCCTACGTCCACCCTTCAAGGTCCAGATCTAACAGTGCCTCCTGCAGGAAGTTTTCCCTGATTCTCTCCACCTGTGGGATGGGCCTTTTCTCAGAACTCTCACTGCAGTTGCTTGTTACCACGGGCAGGAGCAAATGTGTCTTAAGAATGTTTCTTTTTCATTGAGGTTTTCCCCCATGGTACCCCTCACAGGTACAGTGAACCCCAGTAAGTGTGTGTGGAATGAATGAGAAGAACAAGATGATATTAAAAGACATAATAGCTAAAGTCAACAGAGAGATGATCTGTTCTTAAAAAGAAAAAAAATGGCAACAAATTTTAGATACCTCCAGACCCTGTACCTTCCTTGCTGCTGTATCTTTAAGGCAACCTTTGGTCCTGTTCAGCATCTGAATCCCAGTTTCCTAATATGCAGAATGGAGCCTAAAAATGCATACCTCACAGAGATCTTGCAAGGACTCAAGGATATAATGCTTGGAAAATGCTTAGCACGTGGTAGATCTTCAACCAAAGTAAGAAACCACCTCCTTTTGTCAGTGCGTACACCTTTCCACACCATAGGCTTTTGCAAATCAAGTATCATCGCCTCAATACACGTAAAGAGGAATTTAAAATGATTATATCAAGAGATACTCAAAAATCATTTTATGTGATTCATCAGTCACTTCAAATAAAAATGAAGAAAAAATGGGAATCGAAGGAAACCATTTAGAGATGATAAGTATCAGTTACCAAAAGCTGACAGCAAACATGTTGACAAGCAGAAATGGAAGGCATTGCCATGAGGGCAAGGCAGAAAGGACTGCCATGCTGCCGTTCCTCGCTGCTCTGCCCAGGGGAGGACCGTGGCAAGAATTCTGATTCCTGGGCCCCACCCCAGAGCAGCCAGTCCCTCTGAAGGTGTGGCCCGGGAATCTGCATGTGAGCACACACCTCAGATTATTACTCTGCATGCCAACTTTGAGAACAACTTCTCTCCTGACATCCTCACATCACCCCGATACCACTGTCCCTTTCTCAGTATCAGACCTTTGCACTTAGCCCTCTTCCTAGGATGCCTAGCCACCTTCTGTGCCTGCAAAATTGCAGTGTCTTTAAAGGGGACATAGTATCCGTAGTACTGAGCCCTCATCTTTGTAGTTGCATTCAGCTTTCATTCATCCCCTGCTGACTCACTCATTCATGAGCCATTCTCAGGTTAGACTGCCCGTGGTGTATTTGCACGTCTGTCTCCCTGTTGACAAGGACTGTGTATTACTCATCTTTCATTTCCCGATGACTAACTTAGAGCCCAGAACAAATCAGACATCATAAGACTGTGTTGATTACATGAATGAGTACACACGGGTGGGTGTATGTGTGAGGTTGATACCCCCATTTTGTTTGA